AAAAAAAAAAAAAAAATAGAATGCGTAGAAGAACGCGTGAACCGAGCGGCGCAATGTTTTCGATAAATTCGCTTTTGGATTAGCTAGATAGCATACGTGTAAGCATACGCGAAACCACGTTCCAGTTCCAGAACGACGACCCACACGTTTCATTTTCGTGGTATCCGTCTCGATTCGAGACTGATCGAGACGCCCTGTTCCCTCAATGTTTCATGTTGTCGAAATAGCGCGTCGCGAGTCGCGCTGGAATTGGAACGAACAATCGGGAACGATGTTTCTGGCGGAGCGTGCGATTGTTGAAGCGGTGTTTGGATCCTCGAAGGTATCCTCGAGGGTGGAACTCGCGTTTAATCGGTCAACGTCGAGTCGAGGAGAACGGTTCATTAGTCTCAATTACTAGTTGGAATTTCTCTCGCGGCGAGACAAAAGTTCCCCGAGAGGCGCGCTGAAGCTTGAGCTCGTGTAGTCGCGAACAATCGATTTTCGATCCATCGCTGTAATCACTGCCACACGTCGATACAGGGTCGATAAACAACGGCGACTCGGTGAGACAGAGAGATGCGTACTTCAATTCGTTTGAATTTTCATTTAAGCGAAGCGACGCACGTTCGACGATATTGTATTTTATTGTCATTCTTCTGCTTCGCGATGCATTTAATTTCATCCCGAATTAAAGTGCGAAAACAATCTGCGATTTTTTACCCTAGCGATAACTCCTTTCTTTCATTCTCTCTCTTAAATTATTCACCTGTTTAAATGGTTTTAAAAAGTCGCTGTCGCCCAATCAATTTATCTAACGAAGCGATTAACATGCTGTAATAAAGTGCAATTAAACACTCATGTGAAATGTTTTGTTGTATCGTTTTACTGACCGCATCGCGAGACAGACGAACTAACGTATAAAGTGAAACGTCGCGTTGCTTATTGACCGTGTCTTGCGAACATTCTATCACCGGAACAACCTTGTGTTTGCAGTCAGTTAAGAGACTTACGTCTCTCGGAGGTAAGTCTCGCTGACCGGTTCGAGCGTTTGCAAGAAACTTCCGGTCGAGCTGCCGAAGTTGTTCGAAACGAGCCACTTCTTAGAAGGACTATTACGGACGTTGTACCGTGGACGGAGTTCTCTAAAGCTGGTATTAAAGAGTTGCTGGCAACTTATAATTAGAAAAAAAACGATGAAACCGCCGATATTCC